CCCCTCATTGTTGTAAGCCGCCCTGAGTCCCCTCAGGGAAAAGGGCGGCATATAAATCCTCAATAAAATCCTAAAAAAAATGTGTGGTTGAAACAAAGATGCAACTGAAAATTGGGGTGGTGGTGGTGGTTAGGGAGATTACATGATAGGACCATGATGGTGAACCTATGGCCATCTCTCCAGGCATGTGAGCCATCGCCCATTGCTCTTCTGGGTTCCAGCTGGTCTTCATGCTTGGTGGAGTGTCGGAAACCGGAGGAGCGCTTGTGCGTGCTGGGAAGATGATCTTCTGGTTTCCAGCTGGTCTTCGTGCGCCAGAAACCAGAAGACCGGGTGACTGATGTGCATGCCTGCACAAAAAACTGAAAAATCATCTTCCTAGGGCGCGCACGCGCACCAGCCAGCTTCTCTTCTGGTTTCCAGCATGCGCATGCACCCCGGCCAGCTGGTCTTTGCGCACGCATGTTTGTCAGAAACTGAAAGACCAGATGGCTGGTGCGCATGTGTGTGGTGGAAACCGGAAGATCATCTTTCCAACCCACACATGTGCACTGGGCGGCTGTTCTTCTGGTTTCTGGCACATGTGCGTGTGCGCATGTACACTCCCGTTTTGGCACTCGGTGTCGAAAAGGTTCACTTTTATAGGACTTCATAAACACATATGCTATATGTTGGTTTCAAAGTGTCCTTATTTTCTCCATTCTATTTGATTGAGTTCTACCCTCTCCTGTCTCCCCCTAACTCGATACAGATATTTTTTTGCTTGACGAAATCCAGACATTGCACCTCCCTAATCAATGCAGAACAGTTGCCTTTTTATAGGACTAAAGGGAGCTTCTGAAGGGTTAAGCAAATAGTAGTTTCCTTTGGTGTGCCAGTGGTGCCAATTGTCTAAGCATAATTAAGTACCCCAAGTGCTTCTGAAGGAAGCTGCTTGTTGTCAGACACGCTGCAAGCAACTTGAAAGAGGTGCTTTTATCAAGATGCATGGAATCCCAATACCAAAATGTTACAACTGATGATTATAAGTATGTAAAATTAGCTCCCCTTTATCCCAGATTTGTATCTCATGGCTCATGCTGTGAAATCCAGAAGAAAGAATAAAATGAAATTGAAGAAGGATCAGCTTGAAAATAATTATCTTTTTTGATTTCCCTGCAGGCCTTTCTGCATCGAATTAGACAAAATGCGGTGGATAAAGCTGAGAAATATATAACAGAGGAAAATGTCAAGGTAATGCTTCCAAAACATTTTTGGGTTAAGATTGAGATCATGTGAAGTTCAAGATTAATTCTGTTAATGGCAATGCTTGGATTGCCACATTACTTTAAATGAACAGAAACTATATACAAGATACGTTAGGTAGAAAACAGCAGGGAGTATCTTTTCTTTTCTTCTATATGTTTAATTGAAAAGTCCAATAATATTGTGTCCTACAAAGAATGAAGACATGAATGTGGCGGCCACAGGCAGATAATGAAACTCAGGTCCAACTTCAGTCCCTAAATATTGTTTCTTTTAAAACCAACAGAAAGTCTAGTTGGATAAATACTATATGATTTTTACTTACAATCTTCCTTCCTTTAAATTCCTTGTTCAATTCAAAGGCAAAGTACTGTATTTCTGACTTGGAAAATTAGATACTTCTATTTTCCCTCCTTGTAAATTCCTTCATTTCATGCATGTCATTGACTTTTCTTCCAAGGCCAGTTAGTTCTCAAGCTACTCTCTTGTCCCAGGCAAACACATAAACAAACAATAAATACAAAAATTGGTAGCAAAGTTTTTGTGGCTTTTAAATGCTGCAGGTAAAAAGTTGGTGATGTCACTGTTGTTGTTACTGCAATTAATTTATTGCCTGTCAACGTTTTAAATATATCTGTCTTACAATCAAATTCTGCATTTAAATTAATTTGCTTTTCTCACCTGATTAAGTATGTTTATGCCTGAAGTTTCTTTGGGCTTTTCTCCAGATGCACAATCATTTAAAAAAAAAAAGAAAGAAATAAAACCATATTTCTGTTTTATTTCTCTTTGCTGAATTTACTAAGGAGATTTTAAAAGACAATTTAGAAAGAAAGATCTACATACATACATACATACATACATACATACATACATACATACATAGAGGTAGTCCTCGCTTAACAACCATTCATTCAGTGTGTGTTTGAAGTTATTACAGTGCTGAACAAATGGCACTTACAACAGACCCAAGATCAGGTGATCAAAATTCAGGTGTTTGGCAAACTCATCCACATTTATATCTAGGTGGGCTTAATTTATACCCAATGGGTCTATCTATCTCTGCTCTTTTTGTTGACCCCTGCCCCAAGTGCAGCCCTGCATTCTTGCCACCTGCACTTTGCCATCCCTCCTGCCCTGTCTCCCTGCCCTACATCCCCACTGCCCTGCACTCTACTGCCCTTACCACCCCTATTGATCCTGCCACTTTGCTCCCTGCCCTGTACTCCACTTCCCCTGCCATCCTGTGCTCTGGCCTGCATTACTCTTTCCCATCCCTGCTGCTCTACCATTCTTCCTCTGCCGCCCTTAGTGGCCTCATCACCATCTCTTCTTCCCTCCACACACTCACCTCCACTTGAGCTCACCCCACTGATCTGTCTCCTTGTTATTTCTGCCCTTTGGGCTGTTCTGTGCCTAGTAAGCTTCATTGATTTCAGTGGGATTTATTTCTAGTGAATAAATAAAACTTCAGGGCCAAGGCCTTCTGCAGTGAGGGTGCAGCTCTTTATCATATACGTAGCTGGCCTTTCTTCAGTTTTGAAATGGTTCCAGCAATATATTTTATTTGGTTTACTCTAATTAGAACTATAGCAATGCCTTATCAGATTATATTAGCTACTTTATTTTTGGTCCTTTTAAGCACTTCTGGCTACTATTTTTTTTACTGATGAATAGTATGCCTTGCTATTTTATAACTTATATTTCGTATTTGCTCAGTTTTATGACTGTAAAATAATTTTTCTTATAATCACAACTAATTTATTTTTTTTTATTCTGTGGGTGTATAATTGAAGTTTGAACTATTTGTACCAAATGAAATGACCGGTAGTAGTGGTAGTTTGATGACTTTTAAAGGAAACATATACCCTTTTCTATTTTGTAATTATATTTTTATCCAACCTATGTGCCAAGTAGAAGAGAGAGCATTTCAAATAACCACTAACCCTTTAGTTGGGGACAGATTAACAGAGTTGGAAGGACCTTGTAGATCATCTAATCCAATACACCATTTCTGACAAATGGCTGTCCAATCTCTTCTTGAAAGCCTCCAGTGATGAGGCTTCTGAAGGCAAGCTGTTCCATTGGTTGTTTGTTCACTGTCAGAATTTCTGCCCTTATTTCTAGGTTGAATCTCTCCTTGATCAGTTTCCATCCATTATTCCTTGTCTGGCCTTCNCTGCAGTGATTCACTTAACAACTGTGGCAAGAAAGGTCTTAAAAAGGGGCAAAATCCACTTTAGAAATGTCTCAGCAACAGAAATTTTGGACTCAATTGTGTCGATGACTCCCTGCACACCTTATTTGAGTGCACAGTTATTTGCAAATTTAACATTGCATCAAAGCTGAGTATCTAAAACCAACAGAAACATTTATTTTGCATCATTGAAATAAACTTATCTGAGTGTGATAGCTAATTTGACATATGAAGGGCGGCATATAGATCTGTAGAATGTCTCACATTTAAAAAATATTAAATTTATCTTATTCCATTTCCACAGCTACGCACTGTATGGAATTTTTTTTTTTAAAAAAAAAAAACCATATAGTGCATGACATTTCACATAAAAGTTAAGGAAATGCCGATTATGAAAGTTCACATAAGAATGCATGCCCCATCTCTGGTGTGGAAAATTGTTTTCCAAATGCTTTGAATTTCTTCCAATTTCACAATGTATTTTTTTACACACATACGAATGCTCCTTGCAATTTACAGATAGGCCTGTGGAGCTATTTTATATTTTCTGTTAATAACTCAAACATACAAGGATGTCTTCTATAGTTAATTATCAGGAGTAGCAAGAAGATAGTTGTACAACAATTCATACCAGTTTTAAATAGAAAAGCAGTTTGCCTGTTGTGCTAATAGGTTATAGAAAACACCATTCAAAATGTTGCCTGCTGCCTGTTTATCTTGTAGAAATCTAGCATTGAAGCTCAAGAAAATAACCACATCACGGGAGGTAACTGGGTCATATTTCAACTGAGCTTTCACTATCTTTCATTCCTCGTCATCCATTTCTTCTGCAAACTGGGGATAAATTGCCTTACCTTAAACATAAAATTTACAGAGATATTCTGAGAGATTTGGGTATCTAACTAAAACAGCAAGCTCAAATATTGGAAAGTTCTTTTAAATTTTTCTTCCTGGTGACTTAAGAATCTTCAATGTGAGATTGTTCAGTTGTAGCCATGGTTCTTTCATAGAAATTTATAGAGGTCGAGAAATGTCATTTCTGTTTAGAACCCACTTCTATTTCTCTAATTCTACTTTGGACAGGAACTCGGTGAAGAAAGAAACTATATTACATCTGTGAAATGTCTTTATTTGACAGGCCAGGTTTATCTACCTAACTAGTTCCCTGTTTGATTTATATGCTGCCCTTTTCTGATCAAAGTGAACACCCAAAGGACTTTAAAACCACCTCTAAATAAAGTAGGAAAAAAAAATACTTTGCCCTTGGGATTTTTCTTTTGTTTTTTTTTTTAGTTAAAAATTAAATTTTAGTTGAATTATTTGAATTAAAAATATTTCTGCCTGATCCATACTTATTTTGCTGAAATAAGGAACAAGAGCAGCTCTAGTTATTATTTGTTGCTAATGCTGAACTTCACTTTTTCTTTTTTTATATCTTTAGAAAACCAGATGATTTCTGTGCTTTATAAGATTGAAGCTCTGGTCTATGTTTCTTGGCCTTGAAAATTAGATATCATGCAAGTTATCCTTGATTCAGGTTTTTAAAAGTTGTGCAACAGAGAATTCTGTATCTCTTCTTAAAAAATTGTCTAAATGATCTAAAACATTTTACACTTTATGAAGATGTGTGACAAAGCTACCTTCTATGACATTGGAAAGCTGGCAGTTATGTCAAGCAAGTTGAAAAGAATAAGTAAACATTAGGTACATGTGGGTTACAGTAGCCAGTAGAGTTTGAAAGAAAACAAGCATTCCATTGACTGCTATAAATCTTGTATATAAAACTTATACAAATTTGTTGATCTTGCAACTGGACTGTGGATGCTCAAGAAGATAAAAACATTCAATTGGGTCAGGCACGGGCTTTCATCGAGAACATCAGAGAAAAAATAAATAAATACCTTGATTGTCAACAGACCTCCAATTTTAACATTTCAGTCCAATAAAAATCATTTGGCATCGTGATTTCACCAGTGCTAGGGATGAAGAATTTAGATAAGCATCCATTATGCTGTAATGTCTTTCTGCACTGAGTGTGTGCAGGGAAGAGGCATTAGGCAAGTCGAGGTGCAGCAGATAGTGGTCAAAATCCTTATTATTAATATTTTGACAGAAAGTTAACATAAGGCAGCTTGCATTAAAAATAAATTAATTGAATGACACCTGCTTCTATTCCTTCAAAAACTTGACATTATTTTGGAGTAGGGTAGTTCTAAGGTAAAGGTAAAGGTTCCTCTCGTACATATGGGCTAGTTGTTCCCAAATCTAGAGGGCAGTGATCATCTCTGTTTCAAAGCTGAAGAGCCAGGACTGTCCGAAGAAGTCTCTGTGGCCGGCATGAGTAAATACTGAAGGCACACGGAATACTGTTACCTTCCCACCAAAGGTGGTCCCTATTTTTCTACTTGTGTTTTACATGCTTTCAAACTGCTAGGTTGGCGTAAGATGGGACAAATAACAGGAGGTCACTCCATTACGTGGTGCTAGGGATTCAGACCGCTGACCTGCCGAACTTTCTGATCGACCAGGTCAGTATCTTAGCCACTGAGCCACCACATCCCTTTAGGGTAGATTTACTTCACTCTAAATTCTCATTGAGTCACTGTGGTGGTTCTCATTTTTACTTGCATCCCATTGTAGTTGTCTGAAAGCATGCTATTGAATGACTTGCTGCTTCAATTGTTCTCTAAAAACCTCAGCTTAACTTTCCTCTCTTGCCTATTACCCTGGTATTTCCTGGTTGCCCTCCATCCAAGTATTAACCCAGTCCAGTCCTGTTTAGATTTCTGAGATCAGCTAGATTTGGCTAGGTCCGGCTCATCAGTAGAAAAATTTGAACGTTACAGTGGTAAATCTGCTATAACCAATTTGTATATTATAGGCAAAGTACTATTCACTCTCTCCGTAAAGAAGTTTGGGCATTATAGGCAAGGAAATAGCTTTTGTTGTATTATAATACTTTTAACAAATTATACATCCCATAAATCACAGCAGAGAAACTATAGCTGTTGGGAGATTATTGGACTTTAAATCTTAATCAATAGGGCTGTGGGCTGATGATATATAATACACTAGCAGTAATTAATAATGCATATGAGAACAAGAAGCAACACACATCCCTTACTGCAGAATATCACAGAGGACAATTCATGTATTTGTGATAAATTCTGGTACTCTGTTAGCAATTGTGACTGTGAGTAATAAATGTTCAATTAGCTGGAATTATCCACAGCTTATCCTGAATTAAAAAGACCTCTGCTTAGTTTTCTAAATATAGTAGCAGCTAGTCTTTTTCTAAGTAGCAGCTGTTTTCCGCATTCTATATTACTGAGAGTCTTGAAAATTGAATCCCATTTGCCATTAGTAAAAAAGGATTGATGAGACTAAAAGAAATTTTTGGCATCAGTTGATACTTTCCCTGTGTCTCTTCCTCATTCCCTTGAATGTCTAACTCCAATTGTATTTGAAAAAATGAACATTATTGGTATGCCAATTCACGTTCTCTCTCCCTCTCTCCTTCTCTCCCTCTTCCTGTCCCTCCCTCCCTCAGATCTGGGGCTTATGAAGAAAATTAGATGACCATTCAAAGTTAGAATGGCACTGAAAAAAGTGACTTGTGACTATTTTACACAGTTATAACTATTGCACCACCCCCATAGTTACAAACCTAACACCTGCAGGGATTCACTTAACAACTGTGGCAAGAAAGTTCGTAAAATGGAGTAGAGCAGGCCAGACATTGTGTCATACAGGTAGTCCTCGCCTTAATGACCACAATTGAGCCCAAAATTTCTGTTGTTAAGTGAGACATTTGTTAAGTGAGACA